TGACCCTGCTCTCCTTAAAGTTACTAATGAACTCTCAGTTGCCCAATCCAATGGCTTTTTCACAACCCCCATTGCCCTGGATCTCTCTGCAATCTCTCCTGGTTCTCCTCCTACCTATCGTACCACTCCTTCCTTTGCGGGATCCTCTGCAAGTGTCTCTCAGGGTCTTGTCCTGGGACCTCTTCTCTTCCATACTACTCTACACTATTCCATACTACTTCACCTGTAGATCTTGTCAGCTGATAATTCTCAAATCTGCCTTTCCTGCCCCAATCTCTCTGCTGACCTCCAATCTGGCATCTCCTACTGGGTGTCCTGTAGACACCTTAAACTCAATTCATCCAAAAGAGACCTCCTTATCTTTCCCTCTAAACCCTCCCCCTCCCCCCTTCCCTATTACTGTCAAGGGCAACACTACCCTCCCAGTCCCTCAGACTCGTACCCTAGGAGTCCATCCCAGACTCCTCACTCTCTCTCCCCCCCTCCCCCCCATCCAAATGCTGCCAAAGGCTGACAATTCTAACTTGACAACATCCCTCGAATCCACCCCCTTTTCCCCTGTCACACTGGCACCACTCTGGTGCAGGCCCTCATCGTCTCCCCCCTGGATCACTGCAATAGCCTTCTAGCGCCCTCTTCCCTTCCCAGTCTTCTTACGCCTTACTCCCCAACACACACTCTTGGATCCAGCAACACTGGCCTTCTCCTGGCTGGTCCACAAACAAGACATTCCATTTCTCTTACCATTCCCCCTTCCTAGAATGCTTTCCTTCCTCCACTCCTCCCATCTTTTACTGGAAGCCTTCCCAAACCCCTCTTAATTCCAGTGCCTTCCCCCTGTTAATTATTTCCCATTTACCCTGCTCAATTTGTTTATATTTGTATATTGTCTCCCCCATTAGGTTGTAAGTTCCTTGAGGGCAGGGGCTGTCTTCTGCCTCTTTTTATATCCCCAGTGCCTGGCACACAGTAGGCACTTAATAAATGCTTATTGATTGATTGAGATAAATGCTTGCTGACAGCCAATCCTAGTTTGGTGATCTGTCCACTACACTAATTACACTCAAACGAAAGGAGGCCACTGAACTGTACCGAAGGACACCTGCCGGGCACATACTGACTTAGTTTTCAAATGTGATAGAACTCTGTTTTATTGTATCTTTATTTATGTTATGTTCCCAATGACATCTGCATCTGGCCCAGGCCCCTTTCTGCAATGCCTCTTTAAACGAGCTAAGCTAAAACCGACACATTTTATCTTTCCTAATTAGCTAAGGATGAATTTGTTACTCCCAAGAGCTTTTCTTTGTGGTTTCCCCACCCCCACCCGCCATTACTCAACCAAAAAGGTCTGGGGTAAAGAGTTATGGGTGCTTCGGGTTCCATACTGTACTTACTGCCTCATTCAGGTCCCAGCTAGTCCAGACCCTGAAAAAGTTACTTTATCTCTCTGGCTTCACATATGGTTTCCCCATATGTAAGACAGGGATAAGATTTCCAATAATTACCTCACCGGGCTATTTTCAGTAAAGTGATTTGTAAAATGTAAAGCTTTGGAAATTACTCTTCTCACAACCTGATGGGAGGCAGGGAGTCCTTAGTTAATAATTCTTACTACCCCATTTTGCAGAAAATAAAACTGAGGCTTGGCAAAGTAGAAGTGACCTGCCTCTGACTTTTAACAGGCGATTCTAGAGTTCTTGACAGTACTTAAACAACACAGTTTACATCGGTATGTGTATGTGGTGGAGGGAAGTGTTGATCCGGGAATTCCAGTTCAGCCACGAGATGAAATTATAGAGACTGTAAGGAGGGGGTAACAGGGGCGAGAAGCTCTAAAGGAACCACTCTCTTAACTTTCCCCAGCCCAAATTTTTGGCTCATCAAGGGTGTGAACCGCTGATTGGCCCAGCTGCACTTCGCAACCAGGTGTTTCCCTTTCTGGCTGGGATTGAACATTTGCATATGAAAGGACCAGGAAACTCCTCAGAGGATAGTAAATTAAGGGACTGGTAGAGACGGAGGTAGTTAGTCCTCGGGCTGGGAGAGTCTTCCCAGTGAATACAAAAATCCGAGTGGCCGGGAGGGTCAGTGGAGAAGAGACTCGGCAAATTCCGAGGTGAGTTGTCTTTACTGCAGCGTTCTTTGGCTGTTCACCGGAAGCCCGGACTCTTCGCGCTTCTGGGAGGGTGGGCCAAGGTTGGAGTGGGAGAGCTTTTGCTACTATTTTTCATACCATGCCATTCTATAAAATGCCTTTGCTGTAAACTAAGGAGAAGGGAACAAGGAACTATTACAACCATTACTACCACTACCACCCCCACCAGCAGCAGCACTAAGGAGAAGAGAACAGCAGTTATTGTGTGCCTACTGTGTACCAGGTACTGTGTTAAGTATAAATATTATCTCACTTGATCTTTACAACAACCCTGGGAGGTAGGTGCTATTGTTTTCCCCATTTCACAGCTGAGGAAACTGAGGCCCAGAGAGGAAAAGTAACTTTTCCAGGGTTACACAGCTAGTAAGTGTCTGAGGCCACTTTTAACTCGGGTCTTACCAGTGGTGTCTTCTGAGCCGTAAGTTCTAGGAGTGTGGACCCCAAGGTACCTCGAATCTAGAGTAGTCGTTCGCCACGGTCCCTGAGCTGTGAGTGGGAATTAAGGGAGGCACCTCAAAGGGGATGCTATTCTGGGGGTTCAGCTGGAATACATGGGAGGTGCCTCATCCATTTACAGGGACCCACTGGATCTCTCCAGTCTTGGAAGTATCGATCTCTTGATGCCCTAGTGTAGGAGGGATCTCTTTGAAGGAAAAATTAGAAGCTTTGCTTGGGTTTCAGTCTTTAACCAACAAATTTTTTAACATTTCCCTTACTCAGATCACTGCTGAGAATCTTGACACAGTCACATGCCTTAAGCTCCGATGTCTCTGATGTCACTGTGTCAGTTATGAGCATGGCAACTGACGTGAGCATCCTTGGAATACCGCAATGCACCCGACCACCCAGAGCCCTCCAAGATGTTTATGGACTCAGTCTGATGGCCTAGAAACTGTTTAAGCCATCTCAAGGGCTTGATCCCTCTTTGGGAGTCCCACATGTTGTTCAGTAGTTTTTTCAGTGACTCTTCATGGCCCCATTTGGGGCTTTCTTGGCAAAGATACTAGAGTGGCTTGCCATTTCCTTCTCCAGTTCATTTTGCAGATTAGGAATCTGAGGCAAACACGGTGAAGTGACTTGCCCAGGATCACAGGGCTAAGAAGTATCCAGAGACTGGATTTTAACTCGGGAAGTTAAGTATTCCTGACTCCAGGCCCAGCGCTCTATCTACTGAGCCAGCTACTTGCCTGGGAGTGGGGAAAACTTGAGTTCAAATCCAACTTCACATATTCACTAGCTGTGTAACCCTGGGCAAGTCACTTAAACCACTGATTGCCTCAGTTACCCCAACGATTAAAAAAAAAAAAAGGATAATAATACCACCTACCTTCCAGGATTGTTGTGAGAATCAAATGAGAGATTTGTAAGAGTGCTTAGTAAAGTGCCTGGCACATAGTAAACCTATATGCATGCTTATCCCCCCTCCCTTTTTCTTAAGCCATCCTGCTTGCGTTACAAAAGGGGTGAATTTGAACCTCCATTTGGAGGAAGGAAGAAAGAATGAGCTGGGTTGTACTTTTATAGCTGACTCCTCAGCCTCATCCCACTGCTTTTGATATTCTCTGGGCGTCTCTCCTCAGCCAAGTCCTCTGCCTCTCTCCAAGGCAAACAGACCACACCCTTTCTAAGCAACAAGTCAGTCAAACTTGCACATTCTTCACAAGCTCCCACTTCTGGCCAAAATCTGAAAGAGGTGGCCTCTTTAGACTTCACTGTCTTTATTACCTGAGGTTCAATTACATCAGGTAAATTAGAGGAACCCCATTGACTAGGGGCTTACACACTTGCAGTATACAGCCAAGCACCACAATGGCCATTAATACACTCCAAAAGACTGCCTTTGGACAACGTTTATAGTTATTAGTTAATTGCAAGAATAGCCCACTGATAAAGGTGGGTGGGGGTGAACCTTCTCCATTAACTACCTGGCTATGTCTAAAGGTATTATCATATGGAAACATGCAGTGCTTAAAAATTAAGACCTACCCTCAAAAGTAAAAAGGGTCTCATTTTGTCTGTGTGTTTTGGCCTAGGAGGCCATCGTATGCCCCAATAGTATAACAAGGGGACACTGGCACTTGAGGGCCAGCTGAAATGTCTTAAAACTCTTTTATGCTGAAGTTTACAAACATCCTTAAAATCTTATGTTAACACACAAGGAGGCTTTGATCCCGATGGTTTGGGGAATGAGGAAGGACTTTCTTTAGGCCAAACTTGGCTCCAGGAACTGGATGTGTTGTAAATGTTCGAGTTTGGGATAAAATTACAGTAAAGCAATACCAACTAAAGAAGTGAGGATGACCAGCCCCCACATGACATTGGCCCTCTAGGGAGGATCAGTAGAGGTTAGAGTAATTATCAAGAACTTCCTCAAGGGGAAAGTTACATGTTTCCAAGTGAAAGGCAAATGCCAACGAACTTCTCTCGCACAGGTCTGTCAGCATTACAAGTGAAAGTGCTCCCTAACTTTATTCCAGAAACCACAAGTCCAAAAAGGATGGACCGCCCTGGATAGGAGATTTGGGCTGGGCGGGGGTGGGCCTCGTAGACAGTAGGATAAAGTTGTGCCACATGGGTCCCTGGGCAAGCAGAGAGTGCTTGTAGGGAAACTGACTCCTCGCTCAGGAGAGCGCAGAGCGCGCAGCTGGAGTGGGGCAACAAGGCTTCTGCCCTTAACTAGAAAACGGGAGCCTGTTGAAAACACAGCCCATCTAGGGGGGCTGACGTCGTCCTCATCTGAACGCCGGGCAAGCTACGGCTGGGCGGAGGCGGCTCTGGGTCTACGGCCACCCCCTCTGGGGTGCCCCCCTCCCCCCATCCCCCCCCCTTCCCCGGCGCTCACTTGTCCCGGATGATGGTCTGGAGCTCCCGGATCTGGTCGTTCATGGGTAGCAGTTTGAGCTGCGGGCCGAGCTGGCAGAAGGAGAGGTCCTCGGGCTCGCGGTCCTCTGGCGGGGGGCCCTCGGCACTGTCCCCGGCCGGCCCAGCCACGGCGCCGTTGGCAGGCAGCTTGGCCGGGCCTCCCACCTGGTCCTGCCCTGGCCCGCCGCCGGGTTCTGCCGGCTCGGGACACTGGGAGGCGGTGGCCGCGGGAGCTAGCTGCTGGTTATGACAGGGCATGGTGTCCGGCCGCCGGAGCTCCTTGGCCATACAACAGGGCCCGTCGAGAGAGCCGAAAGGCACTGGAGGCCGTAGGCAACTAGCGGGAGCAGCCCGCCCCGGGTCAGCTTCCGCCTTCTCTGCCCAGCCCGACCCAGCTCCAGGCCGGCCGGCTCCAGCACGCCCTCCCCCTCCCCTTCCTGATGCCCCCTCACCCCAGGCCGGGCCCAGCCCAGCTCCCCTAGGCCCCTTCAGCCCAATGGCCTCTGGCTGAGTCTGCTCCGCCCATGGGCTTGCGCCATTGGCTCCAGGACCCGCCACTCCTGGGCTCTTTTTGTTAACTAGTTCTTTGCAGTCCCTCGGACACCAGCACGTGGGGCGGACAACTTTACTCCTGTCCGTCCCGGCCTGCGTCATCCGTTAGGCCTTTCTGAACTGGCACCTTCACCTGAGAAAACCACGGGATTTGGGGCGGGAAGAACCCTTAGACTTCTCACATGGTCCAGCCCCTTCATTTTCTTGAAGGAAAGTCTGCAGGGGCACAGAGAGTAAGGGGACTGGAGTTAACTCCTGCCTGACCACTTCCCACCTCTGTGACAAGTAAGCCACGTCCCCTCTAGAGCTCAGTTTCCTTTTCTGTAAAATAAGAATTTGGACTAGATCAGTGGTTCTAGCAGCTAGATAGTACAATAAATAGAGCACAGGACTTGGAGTCAGGAAGACCTGAGTTTGAATTCTGTCTCAGAAGCTAGCTGTGGAACCCTGGGTATTTAAACGGGTCGATCTTAGTTTCCACAGCTGTGAAAGGTCAGTAATAGTAATAATAATAATATCAACCTCCCAATAATAATAATATTGTGACAATCAAATGAGATAATATTTGTAAAAGGCTTTTTTAAAATGTAAATTGTAAAAAGCCTAATCAATATAAAGGTTAGCTAGTAATAATAGCTAACATTTCTGTAGCACCTACTGTGTGCCAGGCACTGTGCTGAGCACTTTATTATTATCTCATTTGATCTTTACATCAACCCTGGCAGGTAGGTGCTATTATTATCCCCACTTTACAGATGAGGAAACTGGGGCAAATAGAACTTAAGTGACTTGTCACATAGCCAGGAAGGCTCTGAGGCTGGACTCCAGGCACTGTACCACCTAGCTGCCTTTAAGGTTAATAAAACTCAACAAGGATTATAGAACTTGGCTTTCTCTGGATCCACCCAGATCCCCCTCCTCTTCGTACTCTGAGGTGTAGAATTGGACACTTCCTCTCCATACAGAAATGCCTTGGGTTAGCAGGGCAAGGTGTAGTGACTCATGCCTACCAAGTCTGAAGTGCTCAGCTCCATATGGCCAGGCCTTTTTTGTGTCCTTAGATGAGCAGGAAGTCAGATCAATAGCAGCTTGAGACTACCAAGAAATCCTATCACCAAGGGTGCTTGTCAGAGACAATTTCCTTGCCCCTTCCAGAAACAACGAGCCTGTCTTACATGGCAGAGATTCAGACCCTAGTAGATCCTGCTCCTCTGACCCTCCCTGGGGTGTGCTAGAACCAGCTCAAAGAGGTTCCTAGGAAAACTGATTGTTAAATTCTCAATGTTAGCATTTACACCTCCAGAATACACAAAAGCTACAAATTGAGGCTTGATTTATTGTTTTGCCAGTTGTCTAGACTTAAGTGGTCGAGAAAATGTTAATAATGCAGATTAAATTTAAAAGTGTGCCCTGGATGGATTTTTTCTTGGAGACCCCGTTGTTAAACATTTACCAGCACACACCGCTACAATCCCCTTTCCCCCCCACCCCAGCCAAGCTCCTTGAAGGGGGGACTGTCCTGCTTCCCCTGCTTGCCACCACCCCCTACCCTCCTCGTGCTTAGCACAAGGCCTGGCCCCAGGAAGCACTTCACTAAGGCTTTCTTCCAGGATTGCTAGCTCCTCACTTGGAGGTGTTTCCTGTTTGCTATTGGGGCTCTCTGGAGAGCAACTCTTCTTTTGGTCTGTCGCCGCTGCTCTGTGTGGTAGCTGGCCTGGCAGATATATGGCAATGGCTCTGTCCTGTCTCTCTCCACTTTCAGTTTAAAGCTCTCTTGATAATATTTGCAATAGTGCAGGCAAATCGCTTTCTTGCCAGCTCTTGTCAGTTATACCCTATTCCTGGCTGTGAGACAGTGGTTGCTTTTTATTCGGGGTGGTGTGCTGAGGTGTCAAATTCAACCACATTCAAATGTAACTGGAAAATGTTTAACAAAACAAATAAAAATACAATACAACCTAGATAATGTTCTTTTGTGGTTTTCTAAGTCAAATCTGCATGCAACCCAAGGCAGGGATCCCTTTCTTTTTGTTTGACACCACCAGAGACTTGGAGCCAGGAAGACCCGAGTTGAAATCCCTGACTTACATTCCTCATCTGTAAAATGGGGATAAAGAACACCTCCAAGCTCACAGGGCTTCTGTGAAGCGCAAATAAGATAATATTATGTAAACAGTAGCTATTATTATTGGTAGGCAGCTGAGTGACACCCTGGATGGAGTTCAGGGCCTCAGACTCCTTTTCCTGTGTCCAAAGGTAGCCTCAGACACTAGTTGCGTGACCCTGGACAAGTTGCTTAACATTCCTTGGCCTCAGTTTCCTCATCTGAAAAATGAACTGGAGAAGGAAATGGCAAACCACTTAAGAGAGCCCCAAATGGGGTCACCAAAAGTCAGACAGGACTGAACAACATTATTAGCATTCCGATTTTTTTGGTGGGTGGCAATAGGAAGCCCTTGAAATTTCTGAGCAGGAGTGACATGCCCAAATCTGTGCATGAAAGAACTCACTCTGGCATCGGTGTCAAGGACAGATTGGTAAAGGAGGAGAGTGGACAGCAGAATCTCTAAAAGGCGGCTGTTGCAACAGCCCAAATGAATAGTTAAATTCTTTCTCTCCTCTGGGGGAGGAGGGTGTTGTGCCTGGTTGCTTCCTCCCCAAGTCAGTGCTGAGCCTCCAGGGATGAACACAGCTAAGTCTCCTCCTGAAGTAGCCAGCTGCCACGGCCCTGATTGGCTAGCTTGAAGGGGAGCCTCAGACTCTAATCCCCCTCAGTCCCAAGAGCCTGAATCTGTAGCATCTTTCCCATCCTTCTTTCTCCTCCTCCCTCCCCAAGCAAACAAAGCCCTGGCAACCATCTCGGGGTTCCCAGGCTGCACCTGCTGATTTGAAGTGGGCAGAAGAAATGGAGTGGCTACTTGGCCCGTAAATGCGCCAAGGAAAGCGGCAGCAAGATCATCTTGTCTCATTAGCACCAAGCTAAATGCAGCCATGATTTGAAAATGGTCTCATTGTAAGACTTCCCAGGACTTTAACTGGGCTACATTCGTTCTTCTGGAGCATCTGAGACAAATGACCTTGTTTTCTCAATGACCTTATGTAGGCACTGAAGCAGTTCTTCTTGCCCTAGGGATCTTGGAGGGAGGAAATGGGCCCCACTCTCCCCTGTCCGCAGCAGGCTCACCAGGTCTACTCATCTCCGCTAGATTCAGTTTTGGAAGCCAAATGTACCCAAGTGCCCACATTGCTTTGGTTGTGCCATTCACTGTGCAGAGAGTATCCCGACAATGTGACTGAAGGTCCGCGACGTGGATAACAAATCCAAAAAGATCATGGTTAGCAACTGAGTGTCACTTGCCTTGGAAGCAAAACTGAGCAGTGAAATAGTATAGAGCAGGGGTAGGAAACCTGCTGCCTCCACGCCACATCACAGAACAAATCCCCTTAATAAAAGGATTTGTTCTGTTAAGTTTGGATTCAGTCAAAGGGTCACGCCCAAAGACCTAGAAGGCCACATGTGATCTTGAGGCCGAAGGTTCCCCACCCCAGAGTTGGATTGTTGTGTCCTGTCCTCCTTTTATTGAAGTTCATGGAAGGCAGGACTTGAAAGGGATTTTAGAAACCACCATGGGGCAGCTAGGTGGCACAGTAGATAGAGCACTGGCCCTGGACTCAGGAGGACCTGAGTTCAAATCTGGCCTCAGACACTTGCTAACTGTGTGACCCTGGGCGAGTCACTTAACCCCATTGCCTAGCCAAAAAAAAAAAAAAAAAGAAACCATCAAGTCCAGCCTCTCCTTTGACAGATGGAGAAAACTGAGGCCCAGAGAGGTTAAAAACCTTGCTCAAGGTCACAAAAGGATCCCTTAACTCTGATTCCAGGGGTCCTTAACTTTGGGGAGGAGGGAGGCATGGACTACGCAGAAGAATAGGTATTAAAATCTTATTTACTGTTGAAGAAAATGTTCAATTTCAGTTAAAGATTAGTGAAAATAAAGATTTATGATTTTGTCCCCTCCAAGTTCCAAGACCCCATGAAATCTACACATAAACCCTTCTAGGTTAAGAACCTCTGCTCTAGAACCAAGAGGACTTTGTACACAATAACAGCCACCTTATGCAATGACTAATATTGTTAAACTGAACCCTTCTCAGCATTACAAGGATCTAAGACATCTCCAGAGGCCTCGGGAAGGAAAATGCTGTCCACATCCAAAGAAAGAACTATGGAAGTCGAATCGCTCTCACTTATTTTTACCTTCTGTTGAGTTTCGTTTCCTCTTTCTGATGGTTCCTCCTATTGGTTTTAATTTTTACTTACAACTTCACTAATGTGAAAATATGTTTAATGGGAATGTAAATGTAAAGCCTGTATCAGATTGTGCTGCGCTGTCTTGGGGAGGGTAGGGGGGAGGAAGAGGGAGAAAAATTTTCAACTCAAAAGCATGTGGAAGTGATTGTTGATAAATCAAAATAAATTGATAAAATTAAAAAAAAAAAAAGAACCTCTGCTCTAAACTATGCTGACCATGGGGCTAATGAATTGACCAAAAGAGAGGAATTCAAAGGAGGAAGGGAGTGCAAGAACAGGTCCTGTTGACTTATAGCCCGTCTCCCCTGCACTCTCATTTGAGGTGTTCCAGCTGTGCTGTGAGAAACAGCAAACTCCCTTAATTTGCGGGCGGGAGAAACTTATCACAAGTCTAGAACGTCCTCCAAGAGCTATGCTTGTGTCTGTAAGATGGGGATGGGAAAACTGGCAGAGGAAGGCCTCTAGTGTGGGGGTTGTGTCCTGTCTTCTGTGGAGGATTTACATAAGAACACAGAGGCCCTTGCTGCCTCGGGGTGCTGCCACCTTAGCATTCCAAGGCTGGATGAAAGAGGGTCTCCCCCTAGGGCTTCCT